GCCGGCAGCTGCCCGTCGTCGCCCGCACGGCCTCTCCCTGAAAAACGAGGCTCTCCGGCAGCGCGCCCGGCCCCCGCCCCCGCCCTCGCCAACATTTTTCAGCGTTATCTCAGCTTCCAGAGCGTCAGCGGGTTTCAAACCACGTCCATTTTACACAGGACGGCGCTCGGGAGCCAAGAGGCTCACGCGAAACACATAAAACCCGGCTTATCGGGAAACAGGACGTTGCCAGGGACAGCGGAATCCTTCTCGGTGGACAGCTCGTGTTTCGGAGGAAGGGGAGCAAACGGGCCCCCCTTCCACCCGGGGGAGCGAGGCTCACCCTCGAGATGCCAGACGCGGCGAGCGCCACGCACAGCAGGCGACGGGCGGCAGCCGCGCTGGGGCGGCGGACTCACCCACGACGTCGAGGTGGTAGGTGTGGTTGATGGACCCGTGGGCATTCTCCACCACGCAGGTGTAATTCCCCTTGTCGGATGGGACCACGCTTTCCATGATGAGGCTCCAGTGCTGGTTCCGCACCTGGAAAGATCAAAGCAGGGGTGCATTTAACAGCCTCGGCACAGGACGCCGGGCGCTTTGCTCTCGTGATTTAAAAAGCTGGGGGAGCCCGGCCGGTGTGGCTCAGCGGTTGAGCGTCGACCTAGGAACCAAGAGGTCGCTGGTTCGATTCCCGGTCAGGGCGCAGGCCTGTGCTGTGGGCTCGGACCCCAGCGGGGGGCGTGCAGGAGGCAGCCGATCGATGATGTTTTCTGTCTCTCTCTCCCCTTTCCTCTCTCTAAAAAAAAAAAAATTTTTATATATATATATTCAATAAAAGCTTTTTTTTTTTAAGTTGGGGGAGACAAGGAAGGTGAAGAATCTCCTGAATTCTAAATTTTCCTCATAATAAGTACTCAGAATGGTGAGAGACAGAAATAATTATCGAGGTGAATGTCGAGCAAGCGGACACGTGTTCGCACACCCAAGAGTGGGGGGCAGTGAGTCTGCCACAGGCATAGGCTTGAGGGTCCCTACGAGGGCCGCCCGGTGGCTGGGGACCTGCGTGCGAGCCTGCGCAGAGTCAGTGCCCGGGGAGGGCGGGCTACCAGCTGCTCACCCACGCGGCCCCGCGGGCACCAGGGAACCGCCAGGGCCGAGGCCAGGGGCCCCGCCCGTATGCCAGGCACAGCCGAGCTACCCCCCCTCAGCTGCTGCCACCCTCCCGAGGAGCCCACAGCAGGTGCTGGTGCTGTTTCTGGAGCCTTCCGGTGTGAGCGCCTCTCGCTGTCCCCCCAGGGCCCCCAGAGGCTGCCTGGGCGTCTCAAGAAGTCTCAGCTCTGGTCTCTGGTGGTAGCTGAACAGATGCTACGTATCCCTGAGAAATATACTCAGAATCCCAAATATGGGAGCAATGACTCCTCAGGAAACTTGAGGTGCAGTCCACCTGTTTGCAGACTCCTCGAGACTTTTCAAAGATAACAGCACGTGTGAAAATCAGTTATCCCGACGCCTCCCCACGGTGCGGTCAACAGGCAAACGACTGACTCCGCGCTCCCACCGGCTTTCAAAACAGTGTAACAGCCTCAGTTTCAAGCCAGCGTGACTCCTCCCGAGGACCAAGGGCATCCTGGGGTCACGGCCTCAGCATTTCTCTCCGATTCCAAATCCGTCTTTAAGGGCATTTCAGACAAGGCACTCGGAGACATGGACAGAAAACGATAAAAAGCCAGGGCCAGCTCGTTCTAACTATCGTTTCAGGAATTCTGATGAACCTTCTGAATGACTCCTTGAGTGTGGCAAGTGCTTTCTGCCTTCATCACAAAACCCCAATCACACCAGCAGAGCCCGTCACGGGCACACGAGTGAGGCAAGGAACTGAGCTGGAGAATACAGTCGACGCATGAGCGCCCGTTACCAGGGCAGCTGTCCCCTGTGACAAGCAGCACCAGCGGGGGTTCGAGTCTGAGCCACGCCACAGCACACCCTGGCCACGCCACAGCACACCCTGGCCACGCCACGCCCGTGCCACGTCCACACCACGCCCTGGCCACGCCGGGTGTCAGCTCTACGCAAGCCGTTACTGCAGAGGGGAGCTGCCGATGCCAAGTTCAAAACCAAGACGACTGCTCATCACCAACAGTCTTAGGAAGGGTCACAGGGTGACGGCCGGAGTCTTCTCAACAAGACCTCAAGCAACAAATGCAGACCAGGTTCTGGGCAGCCGGTCACTGCACTTCAGCTGCTGCCTGTCACCGGCCCTCCTGCACGACCATGGAGGCTGTCCCAGGGTCCAACGTCGGGGAGTGGGTGACGGACAGGCACTCTCACTGCTGCAGGTGGCACGTCTGGCAGTGAGATGAACCTGAAGGCATCAGACCTGCAGCAGAGCGAGTCTGTGCTCTGCCTCGGACAGGAGACTCCCTGGCTGCCCCTGGCCGGGCCACAGCCTTGCAGCAGAACCAAAGAGAGGCTAGGTCTCTCTCTCTCCCTCCTCTCCCTCCCTCTCTCCCTCCCTCTCTCTCTCCCTCCCTCTCTCCCTGGCACTCTAGCTAAAAAGAAAAAAATCAATGAAAAATATCCTCAGGTAAGGAGTAGAAAAAAAATAAATACATATAAAATAAAATAAAACAAAACTGTCTAAATTCTGGCCCCTGGGTCTACCCTAGAGCCGTAAGCTCAGAAGCGGCAGAACTAGCTCCCTGATTTGAGACAAATGGGCCCACGATGAGACCCTTCCTCTCCCCACGCGCTCGGGGGTACCAGGAACGGGACTCTCCTGGCCTCTGAGCCCCGGTCACATGGAGGGTAAGTTAGGGATGAAGCCAGAGGCCCGACGTCACCAAGCCCCTAATCCAGCACCTTAGCCCTGCCGTAAATATTCGGTTCTTTGAGCCCCTACACAGATGTCACGCCCTTAAGCCCTTAATCGGGGCCAGTGCCCGTCTCTGGACCCCGCCCAAACTGTCGATGTCTTTCTCGAGCCTGGATCCAGGCTTGGCCCATGGACTGTTCCAAGTGGAGCTCAACCCGAACTGGCCGGCGGGCAGCACCTGCCTCTGCCCGAACGTTAACCGTGGCACAGGCGGCTGGCACACCACTGCCATTTCTAACCCAGGGCCGGGGGCAGCCCGGCCTCCCCTCGGGGCCACGGCCTCCCACGTCAAGGTCCTCCTCACAGGCACGGGCCCCTGAGTATCTGCTTCCGGGAGATGTGCTGCAAATATTAACCAGTTAATGTTTATAAGATGCTTTCGCAACGAGGACCATGCTGACCCAACAAGGGGTTCTGCCCTCCCGGAGACCTTAGTACTCGATCAATACTGCCCCGCGAGGGCCGCTCATTTCCTTACACCACAGCTCCAGCCCGACGCCTTCACGCGCCACCAACCCCAGATCCCGAGCCGGGGCACTTTCCAAGTGGATGCCCTTACAGGGGCCGTGCGATAACCGCGGAGGGGGCACACCTACCGCGAACAGTGGCTGCTTCGTGAGAACACGAGGCCACAAACAGGAACCCCAGAAAGGTGGGGAGCAAAGGCACACAGATTTTGGTGAGGTTTTTTCTGTGTGTGTTTTTTTTAATATCCTGTTTCCATACCACGATTCAGTGTAAACCACCCTTAGGAAACCACCCTTCCGGCAAAAAATGTAAGATCCTCTCCAACATGTTTTTCTAAATTCCTCAGCTCTTTGGTGCTAGTTGTTCAGCCAGTTTGGTCAAAGGCACACACACCAGCTTTGCTCTCACGGAGGAGGGAATGTAAATCCCAATAAAGATCTGAAAAGACGCTGAGCCTCATTAACGCCAGGGAAATGCAAATTAGGACAGTAATGAGACACTTATTCACTCGCTGATTAACAAAAATTAGACAGATCAACGCCATCGAGTACTTGGGGAGGGTGACAGAGAAACGGGCTCAGGGAGTGGGAACGTAAATGGAGAAAAGCCTTTCTGTGAAATAATTTGGGTGCCTATTAAAACCAGCAGCACACATCTTTTTTGACCCAGTTCATTCTACGTCCAGAAATCTAGCTGACATGGAAAATAGCAGTATGGCTCCCAGGCACACAAGCAAGACTGCTGCTTCGAGCACTGTTCGTAGCGGCAAAAACCAGGACTCCATCCAGAAGCGTCCTTAGCACTGTCTAGCTGGTCCTGTACCAACCACAGTGTAACTCAGTCCAACAGAACAGCCAACAGTCATTAAAACACGAGGCATTCGTATGTCCGACCTGGTCAGATATCAAGTTATTGATAAATGAAAAAAAGGGGGGGCTGAATACAATCATGTGTATTCATGATCCCGTTTTGTAAAAAATACACACGCACAGCCCGATGGGCTGGGATCTATACACATGTCCGTAAAAACACAGCTAAAATCAGAAAGAAAAGGTACTAAATTGTTAACAACACACTCTATATAATTAAGTGGCAGGATTATAAATGTTTACTTTCTTCTCATTTTCACTTTTCAAATTTAAACAGAAACCTAACCCCCACCCCACCCCCAGAAGAGTGCACTGAGCCGGCTCCGGGCTCCCTTGGGCCTCCCGGGCCTCCCTTGCATGGTGGCTGCTCTCCTGCAGGACTGTCACCCTGGCAGAAACACCAAAGCCACGGGGAAGAGAAACCCGCACCAGCCAACACATGCGCGACTCTCTTTTCACCCCTGCCCGTGGCCAAATCTCTGTGGAATCCGTCCTTACTTTTCTTCTGCCAACGAGCAGAGAGAGAGAGCGTGAGGCTTCAAAACTATGCTCACTACAGACTTTCAAAAATAACACTTCAGTGCAGAACAAAGCCGGCCGAAGCTAATGGCCCGCATGCTCCGCCGGGGGACACGGAGGCCGGATTCCACAGACATTCCAAGCCCTGTCGCAGCCAAGCCCAGGGGTGGCCCAGGCAGGTTTTCTCGGACCCTTGTTACCTAAAGCCTCCAAGGTGCCCGTTACACTCCTGGCTACCTCCAGGTGGCAACTGGGGATGTGGATTTCGTGTGTGTGATGACACCCAACCGCCCAGGTGAAAGGCGAAAGGTCAAGGTTCTGTTTCCACATTGCAAAAAAGTCCTAACATTTCCAAATGCCCAGGTGCGCGATAACCAGCTGATAAACATCCAGGAGCTGGAAGCTGCAGGGAAAGTTTGGCTCTGCGCCCGGCTGATGGCTGCCGTGTCCATGTGCTAATAAACGCTGCCAGGGCCTCCCTCCACTGGCACCGGGCCCAATGTGCCCAGAAGACAGCACCCCTTTAACCCCGGCCTTCACCTACAATTCAACACACACCAAGTGTCGTTAGGATGCATAAAATCTTGCCATCCGGTGCCAGGCCCCGATTGTCAGCAGGTTCCTGGGGGACCCCAAGGCACCCCTTCTGGGTGTGTGCGCACAAGCTGAGCTGACACGTGTCAAGGGCTGGTGCTATCCCCATGCAGACAGGGAGCCAACACCTGTTAGATGCTTAAACACCAAGAAGTTTGCTTTGCAGGAGGTGTCCAGAGAACAGGGCAGGGCGAGCTCTGATCCTCCAGGCGGGGGGAGGCTCTTCCCTCCACGCGGTTCAGAGTCCAGGGATCTCTCCAGAGGACATGGGAAGTGAACTTAGATGTCTGTGCCCTGAAGATGCTCAGGGAAGTGCCCAGGGGCAGAGGAGCAGAGGGCCTGCAGGGCATCCACCGCCTTTTGAATTTAAACTTTAAAAATCTTAAGATTTGCCTGGCCAGGCGTGGCTTGGGGGTTAAGCATCGACCTAGGATCCAGGAGATTGGGGTTCGATTCCCGGTCAGGGCATATGCCCGGGTTGCAGGCTAGGCAGCCGGTCAATGACTCTCTCATCATTAATGTTTCTCTCTCTCTCTCCCCCTCCTTTCCTCTCTCTGAAATCAATAAAGATATGTTTAAAAAAATAAAAATAAAATAATAAAATTCTCAAGACTTCCCACAAAAGGAAGAATTACCTTGTCACAAAATTACCATGTGACCCAGCAATTCCACTCCCAGGTAGACACCTAAAGGCACCGATAGCATGGACGCAGACAGACACGTGGACACTAACGTTCACGGCTGCGTGGCTCACAACAGGCGAAAGGCAGAACCACCTGAGTGCCTCTCAGCAGGTGAGCTGATCAACAAGACATGGTCTCCCCATAGGACAGAACGTTTTTCAGCTGTAAAAGGAATGGGATTCTGATTCACGCAACAACCTGGAGGAACCTCGAACGCATTAAGGGAAAGCAGCCAGGTCGGACAGGACAAGGACCCCGAGTCCACCTGAGACACCTGGAACGGAGAATCCACAGACAGAAAGTGTGTCAGGGGCTCCGAGCCTAGAGTGGGGGGGGGTGATGGGAAATTATTAATGGATGCAGGGGTTCTGTTTGGGGTGATGAACATGTTTTAAAAATAAATGATAGAGTTCATGTTACGTATATTTCACCATAATTCAGGATACCCCCCGTTTGCCCTCCACGGTGCACCCGACAGTGGACTAGTCCAGCCAACAGTAACCTGCTCCTGGGCCGATTCCGTGCCGGGCTCTCCCCTGGGACGGCTCTTGGTTCTTATGCCGCGAGTGTGTGGCCTGAAGGGTGGCGTCTGAGGATGCGCTTCCCCTCCACGCCTGAATCGTCACCCAAGAAGGCACTGGGAACGGAGGTGCTCTATCAGTTATCTCAATCTCCTTCTGGCTTTTCTGCATTTAATTGTAATAACTGCCCAGAGCCCCTATGAAATATCTGGCTATAAAGATAACCTCTTCATATTAAAAAACACCAGTGCTGCTGTTTATGATGAAAAACGGTGGCTGCTGCACTGTGGCGACGCTGCTAGGCCGTTTTCAGGGCTGGAGGGCATCAGACGTTCGCGCTGACCCGGCCCATCTTCCCATTTTAAGGACAGGTGGCCGGGAGCAGGGAGAGCTCCACCTCGGCCGGCCGAGCCCAGGCAGTGGCATAATTAGGGAGCAGTCATTCTGCCGCAAGTCGAGCTTTATCGTTCTAAATAAATTAATCCCATCCCACCAGCCTCTGCCCACGTGCTAAGGAAAACAATCATTTGACTCCGTCACCTAACAGTGGCTCAGCAGGAGCCTTTGATAAAAAAAAGGCTCACCTGCCGAATCCCAAGCAGCTCCATTGGTCATTTTAATTATATATAAAACGAGCTTTCTCTCCCATGATTCTCTCTCTCTCTTGTTGTTAATTCTCACTTGAGGATATTTTTTCTATTGATCTTTAGAGAGAGTAGAAGGGAAGGAGGGAGAGAGAGAGACAGAAACACTGATGTGAGAAACATCAATTGGTTGCCACCCCAACCAGGGCCAGGGAATCGAACCTCAACCCAGGTACGTGCCCTTGACCAGGAATCAAACCTGCGACTTCCGTGCGTAGGCCGGATGCTCCACCGCCGAGCCAGGCCGGCCGGGCGGGGCTTACACCGCAGGGGACGTTTTCCCAGATGAGAGGGCTCTGTCTTTCCCCTTCAGGTCCCAGAAGACTCCGGGGCTCGGTGAGGTCGCGAAGTCGCCAGCATCCCCGCACTGAGCGTCCAGCACCACTGTGGTGCAAGCCCCTGAGTCCAGGTTGACCACCTTCGCCTCCGGCGGGGTGACCCTCCAAGGCCACTCGGACCGACAGCCACAGCCTCTGCTCCGAGAGGAAGCCCAGCAGGGCAGGGAAGGCGCCCTGGGCACTGCCAGCCAGCAGGCCACATCCCAAAGGGAAGCACCCTCCCTTCGCCCTTTCTTCTTATAAAAAGCAAAACACACTTTAGATTTTTGTTCCCACCCTCCCCTTCGCCCCGAAAATGGCTCCAACATGAGACAACAGGGAGACGGTGGTCATGTCGCCTTCCAGGGCCAGGCTGAGGGACCCTGCCGACGGGGGGCGGTTTGCTCTGAGCACAGGTGCTGTCGTTTAGCCGAATGTCATCACCGGGCATTAGAGCCGAGCGGCTGCACCTGCCTCAATCAGGCAGCACCTTCTCATCAGGCCCCTCGGCCTCCCAGCACCTCCGCAATCACTGGCTCCTGTCTGCACAAAGCTCCGTACCCGTAATCACGACACTGGTATTTATTTCGAGACCAGGGGTTTCCGGGGGCTCGCTGGCCCTGTGTATCCATTTCCAAGGCTGTCCGAAGGGAGGACATTTGCTGACCACCAGGATTTTGATGACTATTCTTCTTTTAAAATATGTTTTTATTGATTTTTATTTTTTTAGAGAGAGACAGAGACAGACAGGAACGTCGATCGGCTGCCTCCTGCCGGGGATGGAGCCCGAAACCCAGGCGTGCGCCCTGACCGGGAATCGAACCAGCAACCTCTTGGTTCCCGGGTCGACGCTCAACCGACCGAGCCGCACCAGCCAGGGCTGACCGTCACTCATCGAGGCTGCACCGGCCGTGGTTTCAGAGCGCCTGGTGGTTAGGACAATCCCAGGAGCCACGGTTTCAGAGCTTTACTCGGCCTTTACAACCAGCATCGCCTAATTAAACCTCTGTCTAGTTAGCCTTTAAAAAAAAGCCAACCTTCCAACCTCATTGTGCCCGATCTAAGAAATGAACTAATAGAGGCAATTTGGGCTCCTGCCTCCTGCTTCTACCCATGAGCTGGAGTCGCAAAGGCCCCTGAAGTGGTCCCCTTCCCGGGGTCGAAGCAGACGCCGCACAAACTACCCGACAGGTGCTCTCGGGAACTTACTCACAGGCTCTCCCCATCGCCCTCTGGGTTTGGCCTCCAGATACTAATTTTTCAATGTTCAAACAAAAGTCAAACATTTCTGCAGACAAAAACAATTCTTTAGAGATGAGTAACTGTGTGGTATTTCTGGAAAGGGCTGCAGGGCACACTCTGGGTGGAGAGAGGCCCATTTAACCACAGCAGCGACGGGCAGAAGCTGCCGCAGGTCTCAGGTGATGGCGGCTGAGTTAACACAGGTGAGAGGAGCACCAGGGAGGCCCTGCCAGGCGCCTCGCTGCCACCAAGGAGTCTCTCCCGCCTGGTTCCCAAGGACCTGTGGTCTCAGCTGACGTGTCCTCTACCTGACCCGCTGGGCAGGTGTCTCACGTGGCTCCGTGATCCCCACGTCTCCTGCCCACGTCTCCTGCCAGCCATGCCCCTGGGTCATCTCCTCCCCTAGCGACTTGCTTAACAACAGAGAACAGCAAAGGTGGTGGGAGGCTCCAGGATTAGGTCCCAGAGGCTGTGACTTCCGTCTTCCTCACGCTCTCGCCCTGGCTCTTCTCCGCTCGCCCCCAGGAAGCCACGCGGAGAGGCCCACGGGGCAGGGAACTGAAGGTGGCTCTCAGGGTTCCTGAGTCCAACGCCCTGTAAAGAAGTGACCCTGGCAACAAGCACAGGGTGAGGCTGGAAGCAGGTCCGCCCCCGCCCCAGGTGACCCTGCAGGTGAGAACCCAGCCTTTGCTGAAAACCTAATTCCGGGGAGAGGGGCCTCGACGCAGGACGGCCCCCGGGACACACCTGGATCCCTGACTGGGGCAGCGAGAGACAATAAGCTCTGCTGTTAAAGCCACTGCGTCCTGGGGTAATTTGGGGTAATTTGTTACACAGCAGTAGGTAACTAATAAGCCCATTCTTGTTCCAAAAGCACCAAAGAACCTCATGACGGGGTTCGTGAAGTCTTCCCCTGCAATCGGCTCTCAAAGTACCCCCTGTCCACGCCGAGACCGGGAGACCCCCCATCCCTCTGAGACGCCCTTCCCCAGACTCAGCCCAGCATCCTCCCGGTCGCCCTGATCCCAAGTCTCCCCAAGAGCCGACATCGCCTCCCTGCACGTCTGCAGGGCTGCACTCGCCTGACTCCCCACGTCAGGGTCCTGACGCCCAGATTTTTCTCTGCCTTCCCTACTGGACCAGGGGTCCCTGTAGCTGGACCTGAGCTTCACCCGGCGTCCAGGGCACTGCTCAATCGACGTTCACTGAATGGACGAACCAAGGCCTGAAGGGCACCTACGGGCACCTCCCAGGAGGTGGGTCCAGTTCACCCCCCAGGGAGTGCGTGGTGAAGACTCATCTCACCAGTGAGCAAGGGGCTGTGGGGACCTGCGCAGATGAAGGACAGGGAGACACGTCTGTCCCCCGGGCAGCAGCCTCTCCTCCTGCGTAACATTTCCTACCCCATCCCCGACCCGGGCCCGCCCGCCGTTCACACGGCCCCCTCGAGCCGCGCGACCTCGGGCACTTACGCGTCTCCGATCCCACTGCAGTTTCAGTTTTATAGACTGTAAAGCGTATAGAAAACAGACTCTCAACTTTCGACCCCTCTGCCGTTCAACTCGCCTCCTATAAAGAGCCGTGGGAGTGGGGTCTGGCGGAATCACAGGCCCGTCCAGGCTCACACTGTCTCCCACAGCAAGCACGGAAACGACCGGCCGTGGCCACGCCGGGCTCTCGTTCCGTCCGGCCCCCGCTGGCGTGAGGACTCGCGAAAGTGAACGTGAGACGCGAGCCTACCTTGTAGCCCCCGATCCGATGCTCCTGTTTAAACTCCTTCCCGTTTTTCAGCCACCGCATGGTGGGCGTCGGGTTCCCCCCGGCCGGACAGCGGAACTTGACCGTGTTGGCGGCGGGCACGGCGTGAAGCCGCTTCTCCATCTTTTCCGTGCTGGTCCAGTACGGAGCTCCTGTTTGGAAACAACAGCACAGGGCGGTTGGACGGACGGCCTCACCTCCCTCGCCAAGCTCCTCGTAGAAAAGATCGTTTTGTTTTGCATGCGGACGTTTCCAAGGCCTCGGGGTACGACTGACCTTAGGAAAGTTTTCCGACACCTGACCCAGCTGGAGGTCCCCGGCGGTGGCCTGCTGGTTGGTTTAGGTCTATTAACGGGGGGGGAACCTGTTTGAGGAACCTGCCCTCCCTTGATCTCAGGCCCAGAATTTAACGTGTGTCGAATCATGTCTAAAAGGCTACTTCACACACATGACGACACACACGAGAACAGCCACCGAGTCCTCCCAAAACGTGCCGTCTCAGGCGCCACGCCTATGAAATGACCACACACACGTGAGCTGTGCTCCAAACCCACGTCGGCTTACCCATCGGAGCTTCACTTTATTTCATTTTATTATTATTTTCTTAGTCGTCACCCAAGGGTATTATTTTCATTGATTTTTAGTGAGTGGAAGGGGGAGAGAAACACTGATGTGAGAGAGACACACTGGTGGGTTGCCTCCCACATGGGCCCCAACTGGGGCCGGAGACCAAACCTGCAACTGAGGGACCGGCCCTTGACCGGGAATCAAACCCGCAGACCTTCAGGGCTCAAGCCAACGCGCAAACCACACCGGCCAGGGCTGGAGCCTCGATTGAAAGGATCATCAACAGTTTAACATGATCCTGGCGGATAAAGCCCGTGGAGCATCACGACTTGCCCGGTGCTTTTTATGACGACCAACTAACCACACGGCACACGGGGCACCTCTTCACCCTTCTCACCTACGTGCCACAGGGGGTGAGCAAAGGTGGTGCCCACAGGATCCAAGACAGAGCAAAGTGAGGCGAAACTGGTCAGTCTGGACAGAGAGAGAGGCCGCAGGTGGAGAGGGAGAGAGGGAGGGAGGGAGCCCAGGGAGAGGGGCTCATTTCTTCCCTCTGGCCCAGGTACACCTGCACCTGGTGGCCCTTGGGCTTCGGGACCAGACGCCCACAAACACACCCCTTTCTCTTGCAGGGTTCCCCAGGGAGTACTCGACCCCTGTTTATCACAAGACTCCCAGGGCCTGGCATTCCTGAAACAATCCCAATCACTTTTATGTTAAAAGAAAAATCCATCGGCAGCCACAGCCACTGAAAAGAAAACCATTCGGCGCACAAAATAAATAATGAGCTTTGTCGCTGCACAAAGACTTTACAGACCTGCCCTAAACGAAAAGGCAGCCTCAGGCGTCTGCCCTGGTGCAGTCTGTTTAGGTAAACACAGAAGCCTGTTCCCCTGAACCCGCCAAATATGAACGGAGCCGGGCTCACAGACAGCATCGGGCACAGCGGAGCGGGTCCCGCGGATGCCCCTTTTCTTTCTTACAGAACAGAAATCAGCAGACATGCGCTTACCCACCACCAGGCCTGACTCTGACGTTCCCTAAAACGTCAAAAAGTGGGATTTAGCTGAAGGCGCTGGGAATGGCTCTGTCCCGTCACCGGCCTGAGCCGACGGCGAGGCTGCAGGCCACGCGGGGGTCGCCCGGGTCACACGCGCGCAGGCCTGGCAGCAGCCCCTGCGTGCGGCACCTCAGGAAGGACCGGGGGGCGGGGGTGAGAGGACTCTGCCGGGATTTCTGGCAGGCGGCCCCCTCCCCGGGGAGACGTTCCAATCACCACAGATGCACCTATACGATCGGCTCCCGCAGAGCAGGCAGCCCGGCCCGTGCGATGGGGTCTGGGCACCTCCTCTGCTCAAGAAAGTAGAAAAGGTCACCTACAGGGCTCGAACCCCGAGCTCAACATTCTCTCTCCCTGGGTAACTGTAAGTCGTGACTCCACAAAGGGCCGTGGAGCCAAGTTTCCGGGGTTCCCTGTGTGATCGCGATGCCCCGCGCCCCTCTGGGTGAGTGCTGGCATCATACGGGCACGGGGTGTTTCTGTGACGCGGCCTTCCTTTAATGAGCACGATGCGGAAGGGGGGGATTATTTTCGTATTTTACAATGGCCCTTCCTGGGATATACTGGCTTTATGGGAAGTCTGAAGAACTGGAAGGTCTAGAAACATAATTAAGTGTAGGAATATTCCTGCGTGTGTCCTGCAGCAGTGGCCTGTGTCCTCTGCAAACTCTTCCTGTCTCCAATATTTCCGGCTGTACCAGCAGCCTGGACACGTGGAAATGCCAGGGCTCCCCCGAAATGCCGTGCAGTGGGGAGAAATGGGGACCAGGCTCCTGACAAGCTCCTCTACCTGAGCTCCCCTTTCTTACCAAGGCTGGTGGGCAGCACTCAGCTTTCACCCGGAGAAGGAACTCGGCCTAAACGAATGACCTGCAAACGCGGAGATGACCGCCGCACACGGCGGGTGCTCCGTACGACGTCTGCTCGGCAGCCTTACCTAAAATGAGCCTGCGAGCCAAGGCCACAGCACGCACTCGAGAGAAGTGCGTGGCTCCCCTCTGCACACCCTCCTGGCACAGCCGCAGGGGTATGTGAGCAGTGGGTCAAAGCCGCCTGTAGAGGAGGGGCCGTGAGACAGACCTCCAGCGGCATGAACAGTGAGCTGCACTAAACCAGGAGTCAACAAGCTGACCCAGGCGGCAGGCATGGCCCCGTGTCCGACGTTCTCGGACCTTCTGATGGGATCTGCAGCAAGAGCACGACGCTCTCAGTCACTAAATACTAGCAATGGGGTTAAAAGACATCAAGACCTGCCCAGATAAATAAACAAACCCGTCGTCGAGGTTCATGCCCGCTCGTCTCGCTTTGACTGAAACGGCTGCTGTGTGTGAGCAGTAACGCAGATCCTACTTTAACAGCAGACGTCGCTCAAGATGCGGCTGGTGACGCAAGAGCCTTCTAACCAGCCCCACAGGAGCGTCGTCCCTCCAGGCTCCCTCCACACGGGCTCTGCCCGCCACCCCCACCCCACGGTGACGACGCATCGGTCCTTTCCTGGGCCACCTCTGTCATCCGCGTGATTACCCATCGCCAGGCGGCTTCCATCCTGAAAAATACTCCTTTCCACGTCTGCCGGCCAGCAAGAGCAGAGCAGCGACCTGGAAGGTACA